TGTCCAAGGTCTTCTTTCGCTATAACAGTCGTAGAATGTAGTTAGGAAATAACTCTACCTTCTCAATTTGGTAATCTAGTGAATACGTCTTTTTAGAAAGACTAAAATACTGTTCTTAAAAAAACTTGTATGTCCTAGGAGTGGATAATCCTAACAAGTTTTGTAATAGCTAAATTATGTTCTAGGGATCTTGGAGAAAAAGTTTTATTGTCTTTGACTAGAGCTGCAAAAAGCACATCATGCATTCCTGAAGTCACTCAGACACTTGTACACCCCTACCCCAATATAACATGACCCGATATAACACGAATTCTGATATAGCGTGGTAAAGCAGTGCTCCGGGGGCGGGGCAGGGCTGCGCACTCCAGCAGATCAAAACAAGTTCGATATAACGTGGTTTCACCTATAACATGGTAAGATTTTTTGGCTCCCAAGGACAGCGTTATATCGAGGTAGAGATGTAGTTTGGCTAAAGGTCATACACATACTTTTTAGGGTCCCAATTCAGGAAAGCACATAAACTTGTGCTTAACTTTAAGAATATTCTTAAGTCCCTTTGACTTCAGTGCAACTTAATCACATGTCAATTTAAGCATATGCTTAAATATTGTCCCGAATATACTTGTTTTCCTCAATCAGGAATTAGAGGTGCTCTATTTTGGAGACCAGAGATGCCAAAGAGTTTAGGTTTAAATTTCAGATTTTTAGGCATGTGTGCATTTACTGTAATTGTGTGCAGAGACCTGTCAATGGCATGTGTTATTTAGACATGCCAAGGCTTGCATATTTTCATGCCTACAATTCTGAATGACAAGATGGCTGTGGCTGGCTCGGGTAGGCTGACTTGGGCTTGGTGCTAGAAATTGCTATGTAGATGTTTGGGCTCCAGCCCGAGGCCGAATGTCTACACAGTAATTTTTCAGGCTGGGAACCTGAGCCTTGGGTGAGCCGCGAGTTTTTTTTTTTATCCCTGTCTAGACATACTCTCAGAGGTCAGATATGGGGTGATTGTTTTATAAAAAGCCTTTTCCCATGGATGATGTGGTGTTTTTGTCGTTTATCGTTTTTGTGTCTGAGTTCATTTGAGAGCACAGTGATTGTCTGGTTTTACCCAGATAGTTGTTATTGGGGCATTTTGTGTCCTGGATGAGGTACACCACATGCTGTGATAGCCATGTGTAGGACCCATTGATCTTGAAAGATGTGTTGTTGTGGAGGGGTGTTGATTATTGTAGCAGTGGAGAGATGTCGGCAGGTTTTGCATCTGTTGTTCTGGCAGAGTCTAGTGCTGCTTTGAGTTGGTGGGTCCTGGTCTGTGCGGAGCTTGCTTCTGATGATGAACATCAGTCTCTAATGTCCACCCAAACACTCGTTTGTCTGGCAGTCTGGGAAATGCCAGGGTTCTCAAGTTTAGCTGATCTCAGAGGAACAGAACATGTGAATCTACTATTTATGTAATAAAAATATGACTAGGGCTTTAAAAACTAGGCTCTATAGATCCTTCATGATGGGTTTGTTTCCTCTATGAAGATTTAATAGCACAATAAGGTTTTCTAGAGCTCTCCAAGGGACCCTTAGGCCTGTGGTGTCAGCATATACTTCCTAAAATGTGAGAAGAAATAAATCCTGATGTTACGGGGTTATTGTTCAGAGTACTGCAAAAGGGAATTATTCACATAAGTCATGTAAAGGACAATGGGCTTGAACCTGCACCCACCTGAGTTGAGGGGAGTTTTGCCATTAACACTGGATGGGGGGAGGTTTTAACAGGAGAGGAAGGATAGTCTTTTTTTCACATTGTACATTAACAGTGACTGGGCAGGGTTGGGATGAGGGGGTTGCTTCTTGCCTCAGTTAAAAAGTGAAAATTAATCTTTCTTAAATATTCATTAATTTTTTTTTTTTAAATCAGGTTTGGCACTTCTGCATTTCTCTATAAAACCATGCTTTGTGATGGTCGGGCTGCAGGAGGGCAACTGGCACCTCCTGCGGGCGCTGGGCGTGAGATTCGGGGGCAGCCAGGCTGTGGGGTGGTACCTCCAGTGGGCGCCGGGCACAAACTTGTCTTGTAGAAAAGGTGCTGAACTGGAATTCCAGACATCTGGATTGAACAAATCATTCCATCTTCCTGGGTAGAGAAATTTATACACCGAGCAGAGATCCGGCACAAAACCCACCTGAAGACTTAAGCTCTGCATCGGGGTTGTACTGGAGACCTGCTGGCAAACAGCTGGGCAAGGGTGCTGCATGCTCCATGTGAGCTTCAGAAAAGCTGCAATAGGAGTGGGCTAGGTGAGGAGCTGCAAACTTTACCTTTGCATGGATAAAGTGGGCCTGTAGCAGGGTGCTGGTGCAGAGGCACCTAATTAGCCCCTGCTCAGCCAGCCCCAATCAGGGGATATAGGTTGGGGCTTGGGAGAAGTCTGGTGCCTGGCCTTTAGAACTGGCTGCACCTGTGGGCCTGAGGGTTCAAGGGCTATAAAGGCTGGCTGGCAGCCAGAAGGAAGGGGGGATGGCCAGGGGAAGGTCAGCCTCTGGGCTGAGGGCAGGTTCTGGGTGGAAGTGGAGATTGTAAGGCCTTCAAACTGTATATAGTATATCACTGGTGGTGGGAGAAGTCTGTAAATAAAGCCACGGGTGCTGCAGAAGGAGAAGCCTCTCTGTGCGTTATTGGGGCAGCCAGTGGGCCCCAGGAAGAAGGCCGGGCAGGGGACCTGTTACAGGGCCCATTATTCTGTGCTAGTGATTGCAGTCCATAGGCTGTCTGACCAGTATTGGCCAGGCAAACATGCCCATCAGTGGCAAGTGGGTGAGTGTCAGAAGACAGGATACTGGGCTAGACGGAACTTTGGTCTGACCCAGTATGTCCGTTCTTATGTTCTTATGACATTAGCAGCCTAAATATCTCAATCTTTGTGCCCCATCTATAAAATGGGGTAATAGCACTGCCCTACCTCTAACTGGCCCTGCGCATGGAACTGGAAGCATTTCTGAGAATGCTACCATGGCGGTCCTGGACTTCAATCTCTTACCTAGCAGCCTAAATTTGGCCTCCAGGACCTGTCTCTGATCCTTTCCTATGTCATTGGTACCTACATGTACCACAACCACCGGCTCCTCCCCAGCACTACACATAAGCCTATCTAGATGTCTCGAGAGATCCACAACCTTCGCACCAGGCAGACAAGTCACCATGCGGTTCTCCCGGTCATCACATACCCAGCTATCTATGTTTCTAATGATCGAATGGCGCACTACTAATACCTGTCTCTTCCTAATAGTTGGAGTTTCCTCCCCCGGAGAGAGATCCTCAGTGCGAGAGGATACCATAACATCATCTGGAAGGAGGGTCCCAACTATGGGATCATTTCCCTCTGCTCCAGTTTGATGTTCTCCTTCCCTGAGACTTTCATCCTCCTCAACAGCACAGAGGCTGTTGGACTGGGGGTGGGACCATTCTACTGTGTCCCAGAAAGTCTCATCTATGTACCTCTCTGTCTCCCTTAGCTCCTCCAATTCCGCCACTCTGGTCTCCAAAGCCCGTACACGGTCTCTGAGGGTCAGAAGCTCCTTGCACCGAATGCACACACATGCCACCCACCCAAAGGGCAGGTAATCATACATGCTGCATTGGGTGCAATACACTGGAAAACCCCCACTCTGTTGCTGGACTTCAGCAACTGATTTCAGAGTCACACTGTAAATGTGTGATGGAGCAGGGACTTGGACACAGGTCTCCCAAGACCTATGCCAGTACTCTAATTCCTGGATAATCCTTCCTCTCCAGAAAAGTTGTGACTTTGCCAAGTCCATACAGTCAGTCAGTGTCAGGTTTAGGGGAAGGCTTCAAGAGTTCCTGGGTTCCAACCCTCCCCTCAGATCCACACATATCTCTAAAGCTTAGAAAAATAAGATAAGGAAGAGTCCCTTATCCTTTGCTTTCTCTGTTAGCTCTTGTTTGTGTGAAAGTTAGTATATTTGGATCTATCATTAATTGCTAAAAAGGAATGTGTTAGGGTGTAGTAGTGCTGCTGTAGCTTCAAAGGAAACTGATAGCGTTGCTGTTAAGTAGGGAAAAGAATATTCTTTTCTAAAGGAATAGCTGCTTATTTCTTCTTTGTGTTTAAAATCATCATAGTCCTGCAAGTCATCCTGTTGATGAGACTCTTTCTAGCTAGCAAGGAGTTACAGATTTGAAGGGCCAGATCCTCAGTTCTGCTTCATCCCTTTTGTGCTGCTTTGGCAGTTCAAAGAGACTGTGCGGGTAGCTTAAATAGCTTGGTGTGGGGGGACTCTTCAGGTGGCATCTGTCCACTGTAAGCAGCTGTGTGGCCTCCAGAATAGGGGCATGGCTGAAGTAGAGTATTGCCTACTCTTTTGATTTTTATCGTGTGTCCAATGATATCTGGTGTTTTTCTTAAAGTCTGACCTCCTGGGGTCATCTGAATACAAGAGAATCTCAGCTTTCATTTAAAAAAAAAAAAAAAAAGTAAATGTTTATCCTCCATTGTTGTGAGGATAAGCTTGAAAATGTGAACCCTAAAGGTTGAAAAGCCAGAAGGGAACTAAAAAGAACTCCTAATGTGTGATTTGGAGGCCTGGCTCGTGATTTTTGAATGCTTGGGGTTGGCAATACTGAGCATTGCTGCACTCCTGCGATCCTCCGTTACCATAACTGTCCCTTGTGAGCCACTGTAGCTGGGCACAACTTAGAGGAGTAGCTATTCGAAATCACATCCAAGTTGGATACATCCCAGCCCTGTTCCATGATCACAATGAGAGATAAGAATGTTTGGAGCCTTAATCAGTCTGTTCTAGGCCTTCTGCATTTTACTGAAGTTGCAATTGCTTTATAATAAAAGGACAGCTCCTCATCTGGTGCAAATCACTGGAGCTACTCATTTACACCAGCTAAGGATCTGGTCTCAAAATTGTGCTTAAATCTCAGTTTATTTAATTATTTTTCAGAAATGTTCCTTAACTTATTTCATTTTTTTCAGTGTCCGACAGATACCAAAGCAACATTTGGGGTCCATCTTAAAATAGTGGGAGACTGGACAGGTATGTAGAAACAAACTTTCCTTTTTAGGCACAAATACCTTCACTTGCAATTTTATCTCCTGAAGGCTTGAATACAATGATCACACATTGATTATGAAGATTTCTCACTAGAAGTTATTCATATTTATTGGTCAAAAGTTGCCTTTATTGCTTTATCAATGCCACCGCTGACTTTTTCAGATGTGTATTTCTTTAGATAACAACACTTTTTTTAGTACTAACAGATGTTCTGATTGTCAGCTAATTATTAGTAATGTGCTTCAGTCTCTATGCTTTTTACAATAGCCTGCTGCCTCTGTGCCAAGTGTAATGGTGCCTGCAGAAATGCTGAAATGTGCACTCCCTTGATAAGGGGATTTTAATACCAGCAGTTTGGTTGACTGCCGGGTTAATTAACATCTATGGCACACTGAGATTACAGGTTGCTTTCATGTTCTCCTCTGCTCTTCCGCTGCTCTGTCAATATTCTCCAGACCGCAGGTGTCAACCTGGATTCCATGCAGAGGAGAATTCTAATTTGCTGCTCGACGTGACAGCTGTTTACTTAGGTGACAGTTGTCATTGGTGTCTGATGGCTGATTTTTTCCAGCTTTGCATTTTCTGTCTTAGGAGGAAGCCGTCTCATTTGTTTTTTGTAGAGGAATGTCTTCTATATTCACTTACTCTGGTTCATCAATGTGGGATGGGCTTGGTACCCATCACTTCTCCCCAGGACCAGAGAGCCGCTTAAAGAAAAAACAAAGTGGGGAGGTGTTAACTAACTGATCTTTCTAGAGGGGTTGGGAACTTCAGCAGGTGCGACTGGCTGCCTGATTTTAATAGACATGGTTTTGTATGTTATACTCCTTTCCCTCTGCTTAGTGTTTGTGTTATCAGTTTAGATTGTAAGCTCTCTGGGGCAGAGACTCTGTTCTGCTCTGTGTCTGGACAATGCCTAGCACTGTGGGACCCCATTCTCAGTTGGTCCTTAGGCTCTACCATAATAAACCTGGTTAATAAATAAGAATAAGAATAATAGACAGTTGTACTTTCCTTCAGGTCTGTCTCCTCAGCTTGAATTCCTGTTATTTACAGCTCTCTTCCTGTATCCCATCATTACATTTCAAATAATTTACACCCGATACCTTTGAGGGCTCACGCTGTATTGCAGAGAGGTCAATTAAACGCGTACATAAGAACATAAGCGTTAATTAAAGGGATGCGGTGGTGCAGATATATGGCGAATCAGAGACGCTCTGGTTAGTTCAGAGCAATTTCCCATGTCCCTGGCTGCTGCTCCTGCTACCTGCACCTGTGAGATGCCGTGAAGAAGTGGTAACCTGGGTTGCTTCTGGCTCTAACGACTTGAGGGAGCAGATATACCATGCTGCTATAGGCATACCTACGATAGATTTTTTTTTTTTTTGGCTAAGTCACACATGTGGGTTTTGTGCTCTTCTGAAAATTGAACGGAAAACCATGTGGCCTGAGTATTTGGGGGCAGGGAGGCAACTGCACGTGGGTAGGAGATGTGTGTAGCGCTGAAGTCAGAACAGGTTTGAAAGAGTGATTACCACATCCCTAATCAGGCGGTGACAGAAGGATAATTGAGCTGGCAACTCCTTGTGGGAGGTTTCTGTTGATGGAACATCATTTCTTGCCTAGGTTCCAGCAGATATAAATTTAGCATCCCAGTAGATGTAGGAAGTAGCTTCTGAATGAATAATTATGACTTCAGAAGTACATTTTCAGGCCAGGAGCAGATATTTAATAGATCTTCAGGCAATATAATTACTCACTCCTAAGAATTAGTGATTTAATACAATGGAACATGGGATGCATTTGAACAGCGGGGGGAAAATGTAGTTTTGAGACTCATTTAAAGGGCGTAGCCTGTGGGCCAAATCTTCAGCCAATGTGTATCAGAGTAGTTCCATTAAAGTCAGTGGAGCCAGGCCAGTTTACACCAGCTGAGGATCTGGCACGTTAATTAATATCTTTTCAGAAAGGCTGTGCATGGTCTCCCATTTTGTTGGCAGAACATGCATCCTGAAGATGACTTTTGGGTGCAGATAAGAATACTTTTCATTTGTGGTCATATGGTAATAGTACTGGAGATCCCATTGTGCTAAGCTGTGCAAAAACATATTGGGAAACAGACACTGCCCCCAGGGGTTTATGATCTAAATCAGTGGTGCCGAGCCTGATTACACAGGAGGGCCACATAAACCTAAGCACAGCCTTGTGTGGGCCAAACAGATTCAACGTATTTTAATAAGATTTAAAATCACTTGTATTGATTTATATTTTAAGTTCAGCTTGTTTCGTGTGTATTTAGATAAGTTGTGTAAACTAAAATGATGTAAACATGACAACAAAATGCTAATGAATTGGTGTTAGTATATTGTGTTGAAATAGGGTGCGGGTCTTACGAAATGCTCTGGTGGGCCATGTGCAGCCCCCGGGCCATAGGTTGGGAACCCCTGGTCTAAATAGATAGGCCAGACAAAGGGTGGGAGGCAAGGCATAATTATTCCTTGTTTACTGATGGGGATCAGAGGCATAGAGAAACTAAATTACTTGCTCAAGGTGATACAGGGAGCCTGTGGCAGCACCAGAATTAGACCCTGAGTCCCAGTCTAGTGCCTCAACTACAAGACCAATCTTTTCTCCTGTATTTGAATCCATAGCTACCTGATTTGTATACATTTAGGGCAGTGGGGCTTGGTGGAGTGTGTAATTCTGTCCCTGGGAAAGAACAGCCACCTTGTTGGCCTTGTAGAACTGCTCAAGCATCCGTGGCTGCAGGGCTAGACTCTGCAACTCCTGGATGCCACACTCATTGTTCCAGGGCCACAGTTTGGTGTTTAACTGGCAGAGAAAGAAGAGATGTAATCCTGGAAGACATCTGTCTGAAAGGGCTAGATTGGTGCCAAAAGAAATTCCTTGTGTAAGATTTCTTAAAGGAAATCACAATCCATGCAAGACTGTTTCCTTTTAAATGACTTGATGGGGGCTTCTAATAAATCAGTCTGCTTATGCTTAATGAAATACAATGTACTGGGTATCACCCCAAAACTTTATCAGGTAAGGTCACAAACACAGGTGGGGCTTTGGCACAGGCTTGCCAATAAAGAATGCCCAAGTTCTAATTTATCCTCTGGCAACGACTCTTTTTGTGACCGGGGCAAGCAATATAACTTCCTCCCCTTAATTACCCTGTTTGTAAGCTGCTTTCCTGGCTCCCATAGATGTTGTGAGGATTAATGAGTTGATGTCTATAAAGCATTTGGCAGATGGGAAGTGCCATCTAAGGGCTAGTCTACACTTACCCGGTAGTTCGACGGCTGCGGATCAAAGTTCCGAGTTCGATTTATCGCGTCTGGTCTGGACGCGATAAATCGAACCAGGAAGTGATCCCCGTCGACTGCGGTACTCCAGCTCAGCGAGAGGAGTACCGCGAAGTCGACGGGGAGCCTGCCTGCCGCGTGTGGACCGCGTCTGAACCGCGGTAAGGTCGAAGTAAGGTCTGTCGAATTCAGCTACGTTATTCACGTAGCTGAATTTGCGTACCTTACTTCGATTTGGGGGGTAAGTGTGGACCAGCCCTAAGTGGTACATTAGCCCTGGTCTGCTCTTAAAACTTTTACCAGCAGAGCTGTGATGGTTAGGGGTGAGATTTTTTTTGTTTGTTGCTGATATAGCTATGGTGGTAAAAGCCCTAGTGTACACATAGTTTTACCAGTATAAAAGTGCTGTGCCAATATAGTTTATTTTGCATCCCAAACTGGAGTAAAGCACTGTTGGACCATGTAGCGGGGTGGTTACCCGCTCCAGCCCTGACAGGGTAGAAGCCAGCCCTGGGAGAGGGCTCAGGGCTAGGAGAAAAAGCCCAAGCTGATTGGGGAAGGAGCGACACCTGGGCCACACCCCAATCAGCGTAGCTGGGCCTTATAAGAAGGCCAGGGCAGCCAGAAGCTGAGCAGAGTCTCTCCTCTAGTTGTGGAGGGAGACTGGCCTGGCCGCAGGGGAATAAGAGGGTACCTGGGAGTGAAGCAGGGCTGGGGAAGAGCCAGAGGAGCCGGGGAGCTCCAGGCTGGCAACTCCCCAGGCTGCAGGGCCTGGTCCCAGGCCCCTAGAGGTACTGGGTGGTAGAAGAAGGCAGCAGGTCAAACCCCCTTGCCTGTGTTTAGTGGCTTTTATACTGCAGTCTGCCCCAGTGAGCGGGGGCTTGGTGAGGACTGGCAGTACCCCAGACTGAGGCGAGGTGGGGGTAGTGGGTGGGGGTTCCCTGGGGAGGGGAGACCCACAAAAACTGTTCGGGTATTGCCAGGGGCCAGCACCCCAGAGAAAACGGGCACCGGAGTCTGGGAGGGACACGGGGGCCAAGCTGTGGCGGATCACCGGCCTGCAGAGGGCACTCCGGGCTGGAAATTGAGCTAATTCCCTGAGAGACCAGCAGGAGGCGCTGCAGGGGTGAGTCCCGCACGCTTACAGACCAGTATCTACCAGGAGAGGAGGGGATGTTGCCCTAGGCAATTTGCCATCTGTAAAATGGGGATAATAGCACTTCCTACCTCACAGGCATGTTGGGAGGACAAGTGCATTGAAGATTGGGAGGCGCTCGGATACAATGGTGATGGGGGGCTATAAAAGTACCTAAGATAGCTTTGCCACTTTAATTATGCCAGCATAGTTAAAGTGCAAAACTTTTCAGTGTAGACAAAGCCTTATAGTCTCTCCGAATCAGTAGATAAACAGCTGATTAACACCTGTTTGTTCTGCTTCTCTACTTTCTGGCTGGTGACCCTGTTCTCCTCCAGACCCGGGAAGTTTGTTAGCTGAACGTTTACAAAAGTCCTTTAAAATTTTTTTTTGGTTTAATATTTGTTGTCAGCTTTGTCGCCTATTATGCTCCTTTCTCTTGCTGCTCCTTCAAGTACCATTGCTAGTTGTGCTTTAAAGCTGACATTTCAACTAACACCCCCTGAAGGGAATTGAGAGACCATAGGCCATGATGA